TAGTACTCTTGTGATTACATTAGGCCCACCCACACCATCCAGGAAAAGCTCCCATTTTTAAGATTAGTTGATTAGCAATCTTAATTCTATCTGCAGCCTTAAATCCACTTTGCCATGTAAATTAACGTATTCACAGATCCCAGGCATTAGGACATGGATATCCTTGGGGTGCCATTATTCAGCCTACTATGAACCCGAAATATGGATATAAAAATAAACTGTGGATTGCTCTATTATGTCATCTCTGATATAGGGCCTTTCATTTGTTGGGGTGCTTTCTTTCTCTCACGTTGTTGGCCCTTCTCACATACTTGGCTGTTTGTGGTGGTAAGCTCATCTTCTGTGGGAGATTTCTCCTGCAAACACTTTGGGTCTCGGGGACCTCAGGAACTGTGGCTGTGTTGGTTTCTCTTGAGGTGGTCTTGGAGCTGTGGTGGTCTCCCACATAACAGCTCCAGTGGTGTCTCAGCACTGTGGGGCAGAATCTTGTGAGGGAGAAATCTGGATTCTTCTTGGACAGAGTCTCCTTCTCTCCCACACCCTGACTACAGCAGAACGAGACTATTTGCATTTCCCCCAAATAGAAGAGGCCCTTTCAGTTCCCAAGTTTATTCGACCTTCTTTTAAGACACTGTCAAACAAAAGAAGCAGCAGATATGAGAGGCTGAATATCAACGTTATCGGGCGAAAAGGAACTTGCTTGTTATTGAGCAGGCAAAATTAGTCTTGTCTCCCAGGTAACCTTTGTACATCCCATACCAGAGGCCTTCCCCAGTTCTTGATAATAATAACGGCTGACATTGACATAGCATTTATCACGCGCCAGAAGCTGTTCGAAGCATTTGGCATATATTAACTCATTTATTTCCCACAACTCTTAATATCCCCGCCTTGAAAAGGGGTTTACAGAGGTTAAATGACTTCTCCTGGATTACTCAATGTTTTATTCTGAGCAACAACATCAAAACGAAGACAAAATATAAACGAGAAGACGATGTCAACAGAAATTACGCACAAATACCACTTAGCTCAAACAGCTTTCACTCATTTCTTTCCTTCAATAGGCCAAGCAAAAACCGCAAGAAAGAAAGAGATAGCTGGAAGAAAGCACGTGTCACACGCTTGGGAACTGGCTAGTGCCTCTCACTGCCTCAGCTTATTCGCAGCCAGTAGGTCTGGCGGTTTCTACTGGCAGAGGTCTGTGCTCCAATCTTCACTGGGGGTAGGAGTTGCCTTACGGTCAGACTGCGGCCGTCCGCAACGGCTCAGACGGTCACAGGGATCACCGTTCATCATGACTTGGCCGGCTGGCCCCATGTTCTGACTGGGGAGGTTGAGCACCCTGGGTGTGCCTCACAATCTATTGGCTTGCAGTTACATCAGCCCTATTCTGATTGGCTACACCCAGTTACGGAAGCCATTACATCATTACAGATGCATTGTTGGCTAAGTATACCATTCCTGATCAATACATTCCAGAACTTTTGAACCTTTCTAAACTTGTTTATGACTTTGGGGGGAGGGTAGCAGGTGTTTATCTCTTTTGAGAGAGGAACCTATATGCTAATACTTAATAGGGTATACATGTATGATTTTAATTAATTTTGGAAAAAGTAGTTACAAGGAAAAGAACAATTTTGGTGGGAAAGCTTATTTACCATTTTTTAAGTACAGCAAGTAGGTTTTTATTTGTCCTTGTTAAAATGTAGGATGTGGCGTCCTTTAATCACACACAGCTGGTTAGTGACAAAGCTAGGATTCATATCCAAGCAGTCTAAATGCAGAATCCACATTCTTACCTACTATATTATATTGCCACCCTGCTTGGAACTAACACTTCACGTTGAACTGACTACTCCCAAGTGTACAGACCATACCAGAAAAAATCCAAGTTATTAGTGGGCAGAAGTCAGATATCTTGGGAGCAGCATCCAGAGGACCCTGCTACCTAAGAGATATTTTATAAAGCAACTGAAAATTTCAATGGGGAGATTTTTAAATTACTATAATTTTCCTGCCTTGTGTTAAGTTGTTTTGCTTTTTCTTTTAATAAAACTTTTTCTGATACCATGCAGTTAGCATGATTGCAGTTGTTGGAATTGTTGCCTACCTATGGCCTTACAAGAAGAGATTCTCTGGGTTTCTGGATGGAACTTTGGCTAAAATTTCTCTTAGCTTGGTAATACCTTCATAGAGAAATCTGGGCCCTCGGCACGAAGGGCATTTCTGACATAAGAAATCTTCTTTTAAGGTCAAGGTGAGGAAATGGCACTGCTTCAGCCAAATGATAGCTTTAGCCTTGTGCTTTTGAATTTGCAGAGGCATTGCATAGAGCATCGAAGAATAAGTGGACTTAGTAGATCCAAGATACTACCAGTGAACTTGGACCTGGGGCAGGTCAATGAGAAGTATATGGATAGAATAACCACACTAATTGAAATATGGAGACTGCACAAGTTTATGATTGTGTAACTTACAAAGTGTGTCCATATCATCTCTATGGGGGAAAAACAACAAAATCCAGAAGGCAAGAGCCCTTTGAATTGGTGGCTCGCTCTTTTGTGTCAACAATATGGCTTTAGAGTGCTATGTGCTCATGTTTTTATATCACTTGGATGTGATTTTTCTGAAAACATTTTTGAAAATGGTGAGATGCTCCACAACTATGATCCTCAACAATTCTTGGAGATAGGGCCAGTATAGAATCTTGAATTTTCAGATAAAAAAACAAACTTGATCTTTCTTTGCTTAAGATTCCTGTTACATGTAAATATGTGGACATTTATTCCCAGTTACTATCTTTGTCATAAAGGAATTTATATGGAGATGGCTATCAACAGTGGCTATGAGTTCCTGTCAACACTTATTTATGCCACATAAGAGAAAGAAAAACACACTCAAGGAGTGCTTACAAAACACCTGGGTCTTTTAATCCTCACAACACTACAATAGAACCAGAATTTTAGAATAACACAGCTGAAGCATAGCTACCAAGGTTAGCCACTAAATAATCATCAGAGATGTATTCAAGCCCAGGCTTGTTTGACTCCAAGCTTTGCTCTTTTCACTAGGGTATAGCACATCCCTCACGGAATTGTTCAGCTGTGAAAGATTAGGTAATGATTTCTCCCCTTTTGTGTCTAGAGTTCAAATTTTTAACCCATATAAACCTAAACCTTATGAATACTTAATGTTAAGTACTTTTATTCCTTTCCACTGGAGGGGGAAAAAAGCAATTTCCAATGGATCGAATGCATTTTCAGACATACTTTACCAGTAGAGTAGTTTAAGGCAATTCAGCCTATTTCCATCTAGCAGAAATTTTCTTATTTATTTTCTACTGATAAACGAACACAATAGACACATTTTGAATTGGGGGTGAACATTACTACTTCTTCTTGATTTATGAGTAACTTGCCTTGGGGGACCAGGTGAGATAATTCCTTATGCCTCCCATTCAGGTAGAAGGTAGTTAAGGCAGCACAAGGTAAGTTAGGGACATCTAATGCCTCATGTTGATTTACCCCCAGTCCTCAATGCTATCCTGTGCTGTGCATTAATTTAAGATTCAAAAGCAGCAGAATGTGTGTTGTAGACAGATTTTAGTTGCACTGATACAGTTTTCCTATCCAGCCACACATTTGTTAATTTGTGAACAATGGCACAAATTTATAAAACAGATGGATAATGTTAGGGTTATAATCTGTAACCCCAGATTAGATGACAATAAATGTCACTCATAATATTAATTATGTTCTGACCTTGTTGTATTTAGATGGTAGTCCTAAATAAACTGATCTATTTATTTAGATGGGAATATTAACACCACACTAATTATATTTAATAATGAACATGTGAAACAACAATTTATCACCTGGTTCAATATTCTGCAATGCTAAATTTCTACTTGGCCCATCTAAATCTTGCATATTTCTTAGGCCACAGAATCTTTGTCTGTGTCTACTGTATTGGAATGGTGCTGTTTCTCCAAATTTCCACAATGCCTAGTTTACTTTAACAGGAGGCAGGTAATGGAGACCTCACTGAGATTATCCCACGCACTGATACACCTCTTTTTGTTGGGCGGGAGGCGGGGGTAGTGGGGGAAGATTAGCCCTGAGCCAACATCTGCTGCCAATCCTCCTCTTTTTGCTGAGGAAGACTGGCCCTGAGCTAACATCTGTGCCCATCTTCTACTTAATATGTGGGACACCTGCGACAGCATGGCTTGCCAAGCGGTGCCATGTCTGCACCCAGGATCTGAACCAGCAAACCTTAGGCTGCCGAAGCAGAATGTGCGAACTTAACCACTGCGCCACTGGGTGGGCCCCTGATACATCTCTTGATGGTAGACAAAGAAAGTAGGCAGAGGAAAGAGAGAAAAAGTAGTTGTTGAAGAATGGCGTCTGAAGGTGAATGATGAATAGCAAACAAGTTTTCATCTTAGTTTGGGAGGGGGAGGGAAGAGGACTAAGAGGAATGGAGAAGAGAAGTTCAGCTAAAAATAATTTGAAAGAAAGGAACATATTCATACTTATTTGAGTCAAGCTTAAGGGGAGAAATAAAAGTACAGAGATAATAGAATAGAAAAAACCATAATTTTAATAGTTAACAATTATTGAACTATTAATTTGATTTTGCAGAGGGAAACCCGGCACAGAGTGGTTAAACAGCTTCTCCAAATTTATGCAGTTAGTGAATGGCAAAGCTTGAATTCCATTCTTGGCAATCTGAACCACTGTTTTAAAATGGAGTATTAACAAAGCACATAGAGTGAGAAAACTTATAGCGAGGGGACATTAGAGACCAAGGGAATATCTTGAGGGGGGCGGTGAGGGGGAGACCGGGGACTGCATTTAAAACAATTACCAATGGGCTAAATATAGTTATGTTGTATTAACGGTCAGAGCGCTTTGTATTTATTAGATCATTTAATTCCGCTAACAATTCTGTGAGGACAATTTTCAGACGAGGACACTTGATAGGTGATAAACGATACCTTCTCTTCTTGCACTGAGATACATCTCAATAGCTGGCTCTGGAGCAAGATAAAGAAGACTGAAGGAGACTTGGCAACAGAACGGACCACGGCAAGGTAAGCAAGTTGAAAACGAGAAATGCAGGAAGTTTCCTATTTAGGCAGAGGCTACTTCCAGCTTTCAAATCTCCCCAGCCGGCCCGCCAAGGCGTCACAAAGCCCGCCCCCCAGTCACAAAGCCACGCCCCCTTCCGTGGCCGTTCTCTGAGCTCCCAATACTTCCCTCCTTCTCTCTGACTCCTCCCACTCCGCCCAGCATCATTTCCTGTGCGCTGGGTGCTGATTGGTTCAGCGCTCGGAAGTGAGGGCGGGCGGTGGGGCCGTTGCCGCAGTGACAGTGCTGGGGGAGTCCGAAGATGGCGGCGTCGCGTCGCTCTCAGCATCATCACCACCATCATCAACAACAGCTCCAGCCCGCCCCAGGGGCTTCGGCGCCGCCGCCGCCACCTCCCCCGCCCCTCAGCCCCGGCCTGGCCCCCGGGACCACCCCAGCCTCCCCCACGGCGGGTGGCCTGGCCCCCTTCGCGTCCCCGCGGCACGGCCTAGCGCTGCCGGAGGGGGATGGCAGTCGGGATCCGCCCGACAGGCCCCGATCCCCGGACCCGGTTGACAGTACCAGCTGTTGCAGTACCACCAGCACAATCTGTACCGTCGCCGCCGCTCCCGTGGTCCCGGCGGTTTCTGCTGCATCTGCCGTCGGGGTCGCTCCCAACCCAGCCGGCAGTGGTAGTAACAATTCACCGTCGTCCTCTTCTTCCCCGACTTCTTCCTCCTCTTCCTCTCCATCCTCCCCTGGATCCAGCTTGGCGGAGAGCCCCGAGGCGGCCGGAGTTAGCGCCCCAGCAACCTTGGGGCCTGGGACCGCGGGACCTGGGCCAGGGGTCCCGGCAGTGAGCGGGGCCCTACGGGAACTGTTGGAGGCCTGTCGCAATGGGGACGTGTCCCGGGTAAAGAGGCTGGTGGACGCGGCAAACGTGAATGCTAAGGACATGGCCGGCCGGAAGTCTTCTCCCCTGCACTTCGCTGCAGGTCAGAGACTTTTGTATTGTTTACTAAGGGTTTGGTGTTGGGGACGGGGGTCCGGGTGGAGAAAGAAAAGAAGTTATGATGGAACAAAACGGGGGCGTGGTTATGGTTCCTCAACACCTCACCGGAAGACTAGAGGTTCTTTTCTTTAGATAGTGCCTGGGTGACGGGGGGCGTGGTAGGGGCATGTGTGAATCCATTCTTTTTAGTGTTTGCACAGTGATACTCGTACTCATTCCCAGACTCCTTTAGTGCTAGTCTCTGGATATGGGTATACTTAAACTTTTTCAGCTCCGAGGGTGTAGGAATAAAGTCAGATTTGAGCAGTCTTCGAGTAGTTTTGCAGTTTGTTTGCTAGTTTATTTCATTTTACAACAGGAATATGTTCCATGAGGACATTCTAGACCAAAAGAAGTTTAATGTAACTCAGCGAGTCTTTAAGGATCTATAGTATATTGTAGTCTCAGTAAGCCAATGGAAGACATAGATGCAGTTTGTGAAACTTTTCCCCTTTCTCAAGGAGTTTACAGTCTAATTGGGTAGATCAAAATATGACTATATGAAACAACTGGAGAAGAATATTTAGATGCAGCATGTGGTGGTAGAATAAATACAGGCTTGGAAGTTCTGGACGCTTCTATTTGTTCGTTGTCTAGCAGGCGGTTTACCTTAATCTCAGTTGCCTCGGCTTTCTCATGGGCAAAAATGATACACTACGGTTGTGTGAGGATTTAGTGAGAAGCGTCTGGCACATAAGTTCCTCAACAACAGTCCTAATTCCTAAACCCCGGACCACGAACTTTTGTGTTTCTTTTTTTTTTTGTGAGCAAGTGGTTGACTATTTTTTCTTCTAAAAACAGCTATTTTTATAAAATACAGAGAGATATAAAACAAAAACAGAGGACCATAGTCTCACTGCCCAGATACCTACTATTGACATTTTTAAAAATAAAGGTAATGTTATATACAGTACAAATGTATATGTTATATATACATTATAAAATTCATATGGGACAGAAATACACAAAATGGAAAAGCCCCCCTAAAAAAAATCAAAGATAACAGACCAAAGATACATTCTCTTAAGTTTCTTGCTATGTTTCTAGTATATATCACTCCTTGAATTTGTTCTGTTAATGGTAAAACGTGTGTTAAGAATTTACCATCTGTATTATTTCTTTTTACCACAACTTGGAAGATATTACTCTTCTCGTTTCACAGATGCCACAGTGAAGCACATACACAGGTATTCACAGAGCAAGTAGTAGGACCTAAATTTGAACTCACTTTGATTTCAGAGCTTGTGAAATCAAGTTTAAACTATTATAACCTATATCTGGGTTCATTTTTGTGAGTATTTGTGATGGAGTTTCTACTTTCCCAGTGTTTTGGGGGAAGAAGTAATTGAGGGCATATACTCCAAGAGTAATGTTCACACATTTTTTTATTGCAGCCCATACTTAGAAATGTATTTTACATTGTCACGTACTCACATAAACCTAATCAAAAGTTTCAGGAAACAATGGTTTCTCTTACTACATGTGTTGTAGTCCGATATTTTATATCCTATTCCATTTCATTTTTTACAAAGCTGTTTCTGATCCATTAATGAGTCATCAGCAATATGAGAGACACAGGAAATCATTATTAGATCACTGGATCCATTCTTGATTTATAAATACTACTATTAGGAATGTGGTGAATTGAATTGTAAACAGGCTTCCATCTAACTAGGTGTTTGCTCAAGCATGCTTATTTTAGACTAAATAGCATTTGTTTTTCCTTAGGCCAAATGAGAAGTCTAAGTCTGATATTACAAATCAGTCAAGGTGGTTTACTTTTGCATACTTTATTCCAAATTTAGTTATTTTAACACATTGTTTCACAAATCTCCTCATTCCTCACCACACTGCATTTTAAGTAATCACTAACAGATGATAGTTACTTATATTTATTTGTGTAATAATGTGCTTATTTAGGATTAGTTACTCGTAAAATCATGCTTGTCTCCCAAATCACTTCTTCTGGTTGCCACAATAGTTACTTTTTATTCTGCTTTAGAGTTTTATGTGTACCCAGATAAGCTAGAAGACAAACAGTAAACCAGTGCTGTAATTATGTTGTAGTTATGAGAACCTAACCTCGAACTGGCTTTTGTAAAAAAACAGTTTTTTTAGTTCACTTGTGGAAAACAGACAACAGTAAAACTCTCTGTGGTTTAAAAACGTAACACTCTGTAGTCAATTTACTATACTTTTGTGTTTGTGTGCATAGCATTAAAGCTTTGTTAAATCTAGTCTTCGCCATCATGTGTAGGCTGAGTGGTTAAACGTAATTCTCAGTTGACTGTTAGTTGGTTGGAATGCTAGTCACTGAATTGTCACGGAATAGCTGTTTTAAAGATAGGAAATTGGTACAATCCCTTGGATGGAAAAGTTTAAAAATTGTGGTTCGTTTGTTCCACAGATATTTTATTACTTATTATAGGTCAGGTGTTAAATCCTGACACAATTAGGAAGTGGCAGATAGACCTTACCCTTAGGGAGCTTACAGTCTGATGGGGAAGACAAACCAGAGCAACAACATTAGCAAAAGCTCACAGTGTGTAATCCAAGAGTGATAGGAAAAGTACCTGTTGGAGCAGGTAGTAGGGACTGTGTCCTGGTTTTAGAACATTTAAGGAGGTCTTTCTAGATAAAGAGATTTTTAAAGCAGGGATTTAAAAGATGAGTCCAAGCTAGCCAAACAAAGATTGGAAGGATGAATGTTAATTAATACCTTTATTTCCCTTTAAAAATGAGTTTACAGTTCTACAGAATGAAATGAAACCGTTTTTAAAGATCTCAGAAGTGATATGAAGTTGTATTTAAATCCTTTTGACTTTTAAAAATATTACCATAAGAGTACCCATAATTCTTTCCAGCAGCAGAATTAAGAATCCTTTCTATCTCATTTTGGACTGTGATAATTATTTGTTTAAAATATGGCTTAGCGACAATAATGGAATCACCCTCCCTACAATTAGAAACATAATCTTCAGTTTCCCTTGTTGATCCAGGCTGTCAAAATACTATTTCTAATGCCTTCTTGAGATGGCTATATCAAAATGATTCTCTCTTATTGTTGTCTGAAGTTTAAATAAGACTTTCTCTTCTACAGATAAGATCCTTGACCCTGGTTTTCCATTGTTCAAAGGACAGTCAAAGCTTTATCAATAGTATCAGTTTACAGTGATATTATCTCCTTAGTTCAGTGCCTAGTGGTGACATATTTTTGTTAAAGAACCAGTATATTCTGATGAGATCTCTTTTTACAGAAAAGTTTGAATGAGGTCTTTTTAAAAAGGGCTTTTACCAAAGCATTGAAGTCTGAGATTTCATAATATTTTTACTTTAAATTGAAGAAATTTTGAAATAGAATTCCTGGTAGTTAGTTAACATATAACTTGGGTTAGGATATGTAATCTGAGGGACTTCAGTATCAAAACTGGCAAAATATATATGGCAGATTGATGCTTTCTTTTGATTTGGTGGTATCTACATCAACACATTTAACCGTATGGAGGTTGCATGACTCATTCCTGTCTCTTCTGATTTTTCAGCATGACCACGTTTGTCTTGTCTTTTCCTCATCACTGTACAAATGTCGTTCCTGGTAAAAAACACTGTGTCCTCCAAACTGTCACCCATCAGTGGGTAAGAAGATGAGTCAGAATGATTCGGTCCTGGAGTGGGAATCTTTTTTGTACTATTCATTGTCTGGCAAGGTCCTTGATAATGCTTTTAAGCAAACATCCTGCCCCAGGGTTTAAGAAGGATCTAATTTGGTAATAGGAGAAAAAGAACTAGTTTCATAAATATCTTTCCAGACCTAATATTGTTGGCTACAAACTGGATTATTTTTTACTTAGTGTTTTCTTAAAACTTTATGCTTTGCTTAAGGTACCACTTAAAAAAAAATTCCACATAGAACTTTTAGTTAGAAAGATACGCAAAATGTCTCTTCTTTTTGCCTCGATATCGCTCTTTGGAAGCAAATGATTTAAGGAACAAATTAGCTGTTTGTAAAATGTTATGTAAAAGTATCTCTGATAATTGGTGACAAGCACACTGTTCAACAATAGAGGAATTCTTACATAAATTAAAATACTGTACTATTTCTATGTGTCTATCTGCTTATATTTTCCTTTATCCATTAATATATCTTTTTTCTGATGCATGTCAATGTAAATTGCAGCCATTTTTGTAGCTTCCCCTAAATACACCAATATGCGTACCATTATCTAGAGTTCAGTATTTGTTTAAATATTTTGTCTTTTAATGTGAAATGTGTACAAATCTTATGTGTACATTCGCTGAGTTTTGACAGATGCAAACACCTGTGTAACTCAAACCCTTATGGAAAGTCTTGATAACCTCAGAAAGTTCCCTCATGCCCGGCCTCTCCATTCCTGTCCTCCCTTCCCGGGGAGACAAACACCATTCTGACGTTTTTCCCCACTGTAGATTGGGTTGCCTCTTTTAGAAGTTCATGTAAATGGAATCCTACAGAGTTTACTCTTTTTCTGTAAGACTGCCTTTACTCAGCATATTTTGATGTTGTAGCATGCATCAGTAGTGTTTTACTGCTGAATAGTATTTCACTGTACGAATGTGCTATAGTTGGTTTTATCTCTTCTCCTGTTGTCAGACCCTTAGGCTGTTTCCAGTTTGAGCTATTATGAACATTCTTGTAACATTGGCAAACGTAGATTTTTTTTCTCTTGGGCCAATATCTAGTATTAGAGTTGCTGGGCCTTAGGGTAGGTAAATGTTCAGTTTTATAAGAAACTGCAAGACCTTTTCCCAAATTGGGTATGCAATTTACATTCCCATCAACAACGTTTCAGAGTTCCAGTTGTTCCATGTCTTCCCAGCTTTCTCGCATGTTCTCAAATGTTTTAATTTTAACCAATCTATTGGAATGTATGGCAGTTCATTGTGGTTTTGTTTTGCATTTCCCTG